TTCAATTTTAAGATGTTATTTTCGTTATAAAGTACTGATTCAAATTAGTAATCAATAATTAATTATTATTCTACTACTCTGCGCGCCTCCCCTGACATGCTCTCGCGCCCCACACACTCCGCTTGCATTCATTCACGTGATTGGTCGAGATGAGAAGTGATCTCGCCTGGGTAGTGTGATTTTATATAGTGTCCTTTCTAATCATATTATGGGATCATATAATCACCCAGACCCTGACACCTTTGCATTGAGTACCGGCAACATGTCAGAAGTGCCGGTACGCACAAAAAAGTGCAGGTACTCCAAAAGCTAAAATATAGAAGTACCGATGTGTACCGGCCCACTTCAAGCACTGCTTAAGTTCTAAAATAATTGTTAATCTTTAAGGATCTTTAAGGAATCTGAATCACAATTTTTACTTTTTTATGGTTCACATCCCTAGTAAAACTTTTGTCCCTAGTGGTGAACTTTTTTGTTCACCCAGTCCAATATGTTTTTGTCCCTCTTTTGTAACAAAAAAAACTGTCTATCAGTCCTCACATACTTGGCTGTTTAAAAAAAAAAAACAGAGTATTGTATGGCACAAAGTGTGTCTGGGTACATGTGTTAGCGTGTGCGTTCCCAGGTTGAGTTGTCCATTGAGAACAGATGAAAGCAACAAGGCCTGTGACTGATCCATTTGTCCTGATCAGGGGAATTCTACCTCCCTCTCTCTCACTTTCTTTCTCTTCCTCTCACCATGTATGACCCACTTTTCCTGTCTCTCCCTTCTTTCCCAAAGTCCCCTCTGAAGACAGGCCTACAGAGAGCTGGCAAGGGGACAATGTGTGTGTGCGTCTGTACCATTATGTATCCCGCTAAATATAATTGTGTGTGCTAATATGAGGTTCATTTTCCTGGCCAGCATTTGATGTTCCTAAATCAATACCATTTCCTTTTTGCCCACATGTAGATGCCCTTGGCATTGTTGGGGGGGGAGGTAAAGTGGGGTAGAGAATGACTCAGTCATGGCATGTTGGCAGGACTTTGTGGCGTGGCCGGCCCTCTGAAAGGCTGCTATTCTGAGTCTGTGAGTTGCTTTTTGTCTGCCTCTCCGGAGGAGGTGAGAGCCGTTCTTTCAGTGCCGTGGCTGCACTGAGAACAGAGGGGCCCACGCACCACCGCAGCCCCATCAGGAGTGCCCGCTGAAGAAAAGAGCCCTTTGTTCGTCGAGGATAGAGACCGAAAAAAAGTGGGGTAGAGAATGACTCAGTCATGGCATGTTGGCAGGACTTTGTGGCGTGGCCGGCCCTCTGAAAGGCTGCTATTCTGAGTCTGTGAGTTGCTTTTTGTCTGCCTCTCCGGAGGAGGTGAGAGCCGTTCTTTCAGTGCCGCGGCTGCACTGAGAACAGAGGGGCCCACGCACCACCGCAGCCCCATCAGGAGTGCCCGCTGAAGAAAAGAGCCCTTTGTTCGTCGAGGATAGAGAGCGAAAAAACACCCATCTCTCCGCAGCACAAACAACACATACTGTTCACATTCACTGACTTCTGCTAGCGTGACAGGTGATAAACTGCCACCACGCCCCCCGCACCCCACCCCTTTTCATCTGTACTCACCCTGACTCGGCATGGGATCTAAGCATCCTATCAGACGTCCCATCAGAGCTGTAAAAGTTTTTCTTTAATTTATTACAGGATTAGTTCATTCAAAAATGAAAACTGCCATTGTTTGTTAAGTCTTTGCAAAACTTGTTTGACTTTCAGAGGGACACAAAAGGGGACATTTCAATAATGTGTCAGGTTGCTCTTTTCCATGCAGTTCACCTATCGGTAAGCCCTGCCCCCCTTAGTTACTGTTGCGAACTCGGACAAACAAACGGAGTTGCTAACTGTCTTACAATGACAGCTGTCAGTGTGAAAACCTTGTCCCTATATCTTTTTGATACATTTTGGACACAGAAGGACCATCATTCAAGTGGGACATAAATATGCCATGGAGGGATATATAAAAGATTTTAAAATAAATGTTGTGGGTATTAATTTGGAAGCGAGGGTTTACAGATGACAATGCAAGCGGGAGAAGCCTCATGTTACATTCGTCACGATCGCAGACAACAACATCCCGGATCAACACAGAGACCGTGAAATGTAGACCTTTGTTTATGTGTTTTTGCCCTACACCGTACAAGATGCGAGAAGAGTCCGCTCTTAATGAGAGTATGACAACCAGAAAATGAAAGTTTTTGTCTTCATTGGGATTGGGGGTGAATGCTTAGGGACATTTAGCTTTGTTTTGTTTGGGTTTAGGAAATAGAATAAAATAAATTCCATTACCCATCCTCTCAGGATACCTGGAATCACTGTTACAAGTACCCCAGGCACATCGTTTTTCCATTTTTGAAGCATAAACCCCATAAAAACTATGCAAGCTTCGGATCTTCCAGTGTTTCTAGTTTTTTATAATCTAATTCTTACTATGTGTCAGTAAGTTGTTGTTATTTTAGCATGCGTGTTTGCCTCAGTGTTATTTTTTTAGGAGTACTGATGAACTAATGTACTTTGATTTGTATTAGTTATCTATTTTAGTTTTAGTTACAGTTGTAGTAATGTTGTCATTTTATTAGTTTTTTTATTATGTCTATAGGCTTTTTATTAAGTTTTACTTTTATTTATTTTGAGTTATTTCAGTACTTCAACATACAAAATGGAAATGAAATAATGAATATATATATTTTTTTATTTTATTTATTTTATTTTTTGTATTTATATACTGTATATGTACATGTATATGTGAGTACTTCAACATACAAAATGGAAATGAAATAATGAATATATATATATATATATATATTTTTTTTTTTTGTATTTATATACTGTATATGTACATGTATATGTGTGTGGCTGTTCATACACATGTAGTTGTTTTTTGGTGTTTGGCTTAGTGTTATGTTAGAATCATTATTATACTCATACCTTTTGTTCTTTTAATTGAAATTTTGAATTGTTTTTAGCTTTATTTTTTAGTTTTCATTTAAATGTTTTAGTTTTGAAATTTTGTTGTATGCATTTGTCATTTTTATTTATTTTATTTTCTTAAATGTGTGTGTATATATAGTATTTATAGAGTTTTAGCTTTTAGTTTTAATTACTTTTTCTTATTTGTGTATGTTTGAATTGTTTTTAGCTTTATTTTTTTGTTTTCATTTAAATGTTTTAGTTTTGAAATGTTGTTGTATGCATTTGTCATTTTTAATTTATTTTATTTTCTTAAATGTGTGTGTATATATAGTATTTATAGAGTTTTAGCTTTTAGTTTTAATTACTTTTTCTTATTTGTAAGTCGCTTTGAATAAAAGCGTCTGCTAAATGACTAAAAGTAAAGTAAAGTTTCTCTATGGCGCTGAAACCTACAGATGTCAGAGTTCCGCTCCCCGTGCAACTGATACTCGACTGCCATTGGCTCATCTGCATTAGAGGGGAGGGGCTTACCGATAGGTCAAGTACAGTGAATGAGGTGACGATTTTAAGCATTGAAATGATTCTAAATATCATAAGTGGTCTTAAGTGACTTGTGCACATATTTGTGTGATAAAAAGATTTAATTTAAGTAGCTGCAACCAGATTGTTGAATCTGTGAGCCTAACTTGAGAACTGAATCATTCTGATTCAAGACCAGTTTTGTGAACTGGATCAACAGATTTTAAAAGAGTCAGTTGATTCATTCACTACTCCTTTTATGAGCTAGCAGTACAGATATCCATATTTGTATTGGATAACGACTTAAATTTTGGTTTGTTCACCACACAATTCTATTGTATTTCTTCAGAAAACATGCATATTTTTTTATGACTTTTACTTTTAAAGGGATAGTGATGTTATTCCACACATGTATACCTTTTTTTTCTGTGGAACATAGAAGAAATTTTGAAGAATGCTGGTTACCAAACCATTTTGGTTCTTATTGACTTTCATTGTAATTTTAATCCATACAACAGACCTTATGCGTCAGAGAAACAAGTGCGCAGCCATCTTTAGAATTTTGTCTTTCAATGTACGTTTTTGCGGTTGCTCTATAGCAGTGGTCGCCAACCCGTCGATCGCGATCACTAATTAAAATACAAAGTAAAAGGCCTCAAATTTGAAGTACAATCTGGGATGTCCTTTTCTATCAATTCTTCAATAGGTAGATCTTGTCTTTCATAAAGGCCGAGGTCAGGGATCTTGGGCCTAAAAAGTTTGGTGACCACTGCTCTATAGCATCAGTTTTGAAGAGTAATTAGCTGGTAAAGTGGATTTACTTATTGTAGAGTTAACAAAAGTTATCATGTGCATTGTAATGTTTGAAGCGGATGTCGTAACAAATGACAGCAGACCGGAAAGGTTTTAAAATGAGCAGTTCATTAAAAAATTCATACAAGCTTACCTTCACACTGTGGGAATACAAACAAGACAATGAAGACAGAGCAGCACTGAAAAGGGGAGGAGCTACATAAGGTCTATAGAAGTCAGTGAGTGGGAACAAACTATCCCTTTAATAGTTTTTTTGTGTCATTTTTGGAGCCTTACAGTCCTATTCACTTGCTGTTATTATATTCACCTTTTGTTTTCAGCAGAAGAAAACAAGTAATACAGGTAGGAAATGGCATGAGGAAAAGTACATGATCATATTTGGGTGAATGATTCCTCTTAAACCAGCATTTTTTTTTATTTATAGAAGAAGTGTGACTTTGAACAAAATGGCTTGGACAGGAAAGATTCACTAGGTTTTTCACCTTAAGCTGTGCAACCGTGCTTACTTGCATCAGCAGGTGAAGCGCGGCAGAACTCGAGGATGGACGACGCCATATTACAGCCTGCCGCAGAAACTTGTGCACATTATGACAGAGCGAGAGAGCAAGAACGCCATTAGCATTCACGGACGTTGTTTGGCACTCCAGCCGCCCCTCTGCGTCGAATCAGGCGTCGTTGATTAATTTCAGCCTATTAGCACCTCCACCCATCCCAGGTTAATTCCCCACGCCAGCGAGCGGGAAAGGGGGCTGCGGGTGTGAGCGATGGTGCAGGGGGTTGCAGGGGAGCACGTTGTTGTCAGGACTGTATTAATGAGCGCGCCGCTCAGGTCCCGTGGACAGGGGGACGGTGTTCCTGGCTGCGCACGGCGACGGCGGCTCTGTCGAGGCCTGGCCTAGTTTCTGCCCTCACCGGGGAGCGCGAGGATCCAAGGACTGACGCTGATCACCTGACAGCGGCCCCACTGCTGCTAGAGAGTGTGTACGCACATGTCTGTGTGTGAGAAAGAAAAAAGACAGGAAAGAGAGGACGCAAGTGCTGGAGTGGGTAAAAGGTTTTATTTTTTTCTCAGTTTTCTGTCTCTGAATAATTTTGGAAGTTCTCAGAGATGGTGTTATGTGAAGTGTTGATCAGCGGTAGATATTTTCCCACTTTTTCTTCCCGTGATATTCTGTCAAAAGAACTGTAATATTGTTCCTCTGTAGTCTATAAAAAAGAATAACTGTAAAAGCACCTTCATGAAAACCTAGTTCAGATTTCAACACCATGTTTGAGGCTGCTGTGATGTTGTAAAGAAATGAGCACAATGTCTAGTTTTGAGCCCTCGTGGTCATACACCGGATGTGCTGCACCTGGACTTTCTCATCCCTCCACTTCCCATTGAGCTACCACATTTAGTCCAACTGCACAATCCATTGTGCCATCAGAAAGTGACTATAACAACATCAGCTGACCCTGAATCATCTGTTCCTTTATACATTCTCTGGTATATTGAAACAGGTGTTTTTATGTTCATGTTATGTCGTATTCACATTTGGCACTACATGAACATGAGTCAGAACCTGAATTTTATTGTCTCCCTCCTCCTGATGGATTTAGGGTTTTACAGTACATTTGTTACGGTACGTTTGTTAAATGGCCATTCCACTTAATCTTCAGCATCACAGCAATCATATTTTTTAAATAAGTCATTTTATCCAAGTAGTGAGCTTGCAATCAACATCAAATGTGATAATTTGGTAACTCTTTACAGTTTCATTCCGTTTGTAAATCAGTACACTAGTCAAACTGTTTTTGAGTGCTAATAAAAATGGCAGAATAGAAAGATGAGTTGTCTTTAATCAGGCATTTTTTTTGCATTTACTCCCTTGACCGTAAAATATATATTTTTGGTCTGCCTACTTTTTGATGTCACAAGAATTTTTTTTAAAATCAGGACAAACTTTGTTGTACTTTTGTAAGATGGACCCCAGAAAAACTTATTTTAGTTTAGTTTTATTTCAAGTGCAATTAAAGAACCTTTTATAGAGATGTATATACAAATCATTTAGTCTTTTTCCCCTCTAAGTTGAATGTTTGTGTCTACACAAAGGTGTTTGCTGTTAAATAATGGCAAAACAAAACATATTTCTATTGGATTGTCTGCACTGGCTGCAGTAAAATATGCAAATATGTGATCCACTACAAAAGTATTTGAGGACAATAAAGCATAATAAATGTAATCAGTGGCAGTTCACTGCAGCCACAGATTGTTTGATGGTTTATTTTAGCTGAGACCCAGGATTTGGTTCCATGGTGTGCAACCGAATTTAAAAGACAGCTTTCACATTAATCCAGCAAACAATTTTACAGTCAGTTGAACTCAAGTCTGCACCAAAACCTGGATGGATCTCAGGGTGCTTTGTGGGATACAAGCTATTAGGTTAAGGATTCCATAGGTTGGTGCTCTCATAATTGCACAAAATGTAACGCAGGCTTGTGAGTGCATTATTAAGAACTGCAGTCCATCGTTCAGGCACATGATGTTGGCTGGCCCACTGAGGCGCTATAAATAGCTGTCATCAATATCTTCTTCTCAACCTCCTCACGTTCCCAATCCACTCAGGACGGCTCCTCTAATGGCATTAAATTTTCAAAAGAGCTGAGTCCACTGCGCCTCTCCGTGCCCACATCCACCCAACAGGAGAGCAAAGGAGAGAGCGATGGAACGAGAAAAAGAGTCACAGTAAAAGAACGAAAGACTCAGACGTGGTGGAATGCAGTTTAAAACTGAATATGCAAGTTTTTAAAAATGGAGATTGAATGTAGGCTGTGGAGAGATGGGGACATGTAGATGTGGTCGGTGTCCATATCTACTAATTCTCTACTCTGTTGTGAATAATGCATTAGCACTTTAATCATCCTCCACGGCCGGCCGCCGTTCCACGTTGCTGTCATGGTGGTCTGAACAGTGCCCGTTGTGGCCCCTCCATCGGTGCCCTCTGCCCTGACCTGGGACGTTTAGCTGTGTTAGGCAAACGCACCATCGCAAGAGATCCTGACCCTCGCCTCTACCTACAACTTGTCCTAGTCTAATCGATTACTCCTGAGCACACGAGATAATGGGACACACACACACGGTTACACACGTTCGGCTCGTCTCCTGTCCGCCGACCCTGATGACCTTTTCTGCTTTTGAGAGATGTCAGTTCACTGCCGTCTGTGAACTCGCAGTGGACACTGTAGTTAAAAATACTGTTACTAAGGAGAATTAATAACATTCAAAAGATGGCACTTTTAGTTCTCTTTCATTTTAGTTTGACATTTTTTTTTTTTTTACATTTAACACCAGATGAGAGGGGTCATCATGGTCGACTATTCATCCAACTACTTGACTAGTCAAGTAGTTAGTTATTTTTCCCCTTAGACATGCAATTTCAGTCTTTTTGCTGTACCCCCCCCCCCTTGTGCCCCCCCCCCCCCCCCAACACACAGAGTTTTCAAGCCAGCGAATTAAATGATTGACAAATAATCATCAGACTCCAAATTCCTAGTTGGTCTACCAGTTGTTAAAATAAGATGTTTTTATCTATGTGATGTATGCATTTTGTTTCTTTCTGTTGTTTCTTGTTATTTTTTTATTCTTGTTTTACATTTTTTCAGTACTAATCAAAATCTACACTAATGTGCCTTTGTGTTTGTTGTCCCTGTAGGAAAGCGGCTGCAGGAATGGATCTGTGTAATTCTGTGCCTCTCGCTCTTCGCTCTTAACCTCTCCTTCCTCTTCCTCAACTTCTCCACAGTGCACATCTACAGAATCATCTTTGGCATTGGTAAGTCTTACATTATTCTTGACCTTTCTGTTCATGTCTTTCCTTTGTTTTCTAATAAAGTTCTGCTGTCATTATCTCTACAGAAACTCATTGGTTGTAGTGGATTTTTTTCCATGTCATGGTCTCACGGTCACTTTTATTTCAGTACTGACTGAATTTAACAGCTTCTTTCTTTCTCTCAAAGTGACTGGTATTGTGACAGCAGATTTTGCCTCTGGGATCGTACATTGGGGAGCTGATACATGGGGTTCAGTGGACATCCCAGTAATTGGGAAGGTAAGGACCAAGGCCTATGCATAGTTCAGTATGTATGGCATAACTGTTTTTACACTATATGAATGTGATAGTCTGACTGCAGGTGTGTGGGCACATTTAGGTACAATGGCACCATCTTTCTGGCACACGTGCATTTCCCACACACTCATATGCACAGTGTGGTCTCTAAGCATAGTATCTTGTTTGATTTTAACAAATTACTCTGTTTAATTTTCATATCAACTTTTGCTCTATTGGCCTGTTATGGTTTACCAGGCTCAACAAAATGGCGAGTGTGAAATGCCATCTCCACCCTTGGGAGTTCAGCCCTCCTGCTTTCCTGGAGCGCCACATCTTAACCCCACCCACTCTCAACCCCAAAGGGTGCTGGAGATACTCAGGAGGGTTGCATTAATGCATAGTATGGTCGCATTCTCCTTGCCCAATCAGAGAAAAGGTCACCCCCTCGCTGTCCAATTAAAAAGCAGCCAACACTTGCTTTCTGTGTCGGACAAGTAGGGGCCATGAATCTGGGAGCATTTATGTGTTTTTGTGCTGACAGGGGTCATTGTGCTATTATGTGGAAGGGGGCAGTAGAAAAATGGCTGACCTAAGCTAAATCCGGTCCCGTGTGCCAATTATTAGGCTACTTCTGGAAATATGGACTGTTAAATTTGATTACAGTGAAAGGAAATAACAAGTATACAGGCTTAGCCATGATCAGAATACACTTGACAATGAGTGTGGCCATGAAATTTTCACAGTTTTAGGCCTGTCCTTTGATTAACACCAATCTTTTCTATTTCCTATTCTCTGGCTGATGTGTTCTCTATAGAGATGGGGTCCTATAGGACTGGGTGGTATGATGCTTTATACTGTGCAACTCCAAATAGTCTGCTATAGCATTTATACCTTAATATGATTTGATGTGGCGATTATGTATATAAAAAAATGAAAGGAGATCATCTAATTTTATATATTTACATTGAGTCTAAATAAATAAATAAACAACTAAAAACAAAAATCAGTCTGTTTAGGCTTCGCAGCAATATAATGTATACTATGAAAAATTGACAGATGTATCACTTATTACACAAATTTTCACCACATAAATAATAATGGGGACATGAAATATTGATTTGAGAAGTAACCATTTTAAAATCTTGCCTGTTTATCTTCTAATCCATTACAGTGTGCACAACGATCATTTTAACAACAAGACAAGCACTTCAATAATATCAGCATTACTGTAGGCCTACTATTAATCCTGAAGTACATCAGTTTCATTTTACAATAAATACAGTGGATAACTGAGGCGCAAGATGGCAGCAGCTCTGTTTGAATGAAACGAGAGAGCGTGTTCGTGGTGTGATACAAGACACATTGAAAGGACCGCCGGTTACGGCTGGCAATCGATTCCAAAAAAATTATCAATTTCAAGGCTTTGGGAATCGAGTCGATTCCAAAGGTTGGAATCGGTTCCTTCAAGGGGAATCAACTCCTCTGTAAGAGCCTTTTTTTAAATTTCAGAGCTAATCATTAATTTGCCTCGCTAATAGTGATTGGAAGCCTGATTCATTTTCGTGAACAAATTCATTCGATTCAATGAAATCGTTTCAGAAAAATTATGCAGCAGGTCTTTTACTCCATTGCGTAATCTATCTGGAATAGATTCCAAAAAATATCTGAATCAAACAGCCCTAGCCACAAATACCTGGACGAGCGGTCATTATACAACATTGGTATTGACAATTGTCATTGTGATGAATAACTGACTTTAGAATGTCTTGACTGACCAATAATAATCAAGCATTTCTGAGGGCTTTGTAGTAAATTTTCAATATTGACTGATCATGTACAATTCTCTAATGTTGTCCATTATGGTACCGATATATACCATGGTTTTAGTCATACTGCCCACTCCTTATGCCCTGCTTCTATGAAGGTTTACATGCTGGTCATTGAGGCCCTGAGTTGTCCTTCATGGCCAGTTCTTTGAGGCCGAGAGCAGGATTGTAGAGAGCAGGTCATCTGAACAGCCCGTCCAGCTCCAGCTGTGGGCCAGGCCGAAGGGCCCGCATTCTCTCGCTTTCATTATCGTCCGTCTGTGCTATAAAACGGCTCAGCCACACCGCCCCACCGTGAAGGGGTTTCCACCCGGCTCCGCAGCCACTGCCGATCCTTCTGCTGTCGAGGATAATTAGGATCCGCCACCTGGGAGTGATCGAACTTTAAAAAAAAATTAAAAAAAAGCGAGGGAATTTACAGACATCCAGAACGCTGAGCTTTAAGACCCTTAACCAGCAGATTAAAGGCGGCACTTAGCGGACCGATATATATGGCTTTTTGTCCACATGTTCAAACAAGAAGCACCAACTTGAGGGAGAATCATTAATGACCGTGATTAAACAGGCACTTAAGAGCAAAGAGCATAGGGAGGAGGAAAAAAGGCTAGAGAAATGAAATGGATCTCATGTGCGCTCTGGGTTAAGGGTGGGGGAGGACGGGCTCCGGTCTTTGGCTGGGTTGCTAGGGCAATCCGAAGATGTGAGTCATGATTAGGCAGAAGGCGGATGAGGCGAGGCGAGGCAGGCCGTTAAACGGTGTGGGATTAGCGACGACCGATATATATGGCTTTTTGTCCACATGTTCAAACAAGAAGCACCAACTTGAGGGAGAATCATTAATGACCGTGATTAAACAGGCACTTAAGAGCAAAGAGCATAGGGAGGAGGAAAAAAGGCTAGAGAAATGAAATGGATCTCATGTGCGCTCTGGGTTAAGGGTGGGGGAGGACGGGCTCCGGTCTTTGGCTGGGTTGCTAGGGCAATCCGAAGATGTGAGTCATGATTAGGCAGAAGGCGGATGAGGCGAGGCGAGGCGAGGCGAGGCAGGCCGTTAAACGGTGTGGGATTAGCGATGGCGAGGCACAGGTTTGTGCCGGTGAGTCGACAGGCACGCCGTGTGCTGTTTTGGGCTTAGCGCTCTTTTAATCTCGCGCACAGAGAGACGGAAAGGAAACGAGGAGAACAGGAGGTAGCATAATTGTCGAAATATCAACAGATAGTTTTCTCTGCTCCAGCAGAGTGTCGCCACTTGCTCTCAGATATAGGTGTGATTGAGTTCAGCCCACAAACACGCGATAATGACATTTCCCCCCCCACGCTTCGTCTCTGAAACGCTATGGTAATGTGGCTCCAAACGATTCCTCCTTTTTATGTGGAAAATAAATTACATTCATTCTTGCATTTTCCTTTGTGCTTATACGATCCTTTCTCTTACTCCCTTTCATTTTATGACACCCGCGCGGTCGCAGACGGGTGCCCGTCTCAAAGCAGCACTCCTGGGCGTGAGTGACAGGTGCTGCTGGGCTATGGTTTTTCATGATGCTGGATCTGAGCCGTGGGGAAGTGCTGTTTAATGCCAGGTTATCTCTCCGCTCCGTAACGTGTAGCTCATACTGCATGCATCATCTTTCATTTAGGATCTAGTACCGCCAACACACCAATTTGTGTCTATCAGTCAACATCTAACCCCACCCAGCCCCGTCTTGCGGCCAGATCCGGGCAAAATCTGCCTTTTCGCATTTTCAATGCTGATTTTTGTGGAAAACCTGTGGCTGCTACACTTCGTACTGGTACTGATGTGCAAAAGTGAGTATTTTCAAAATTAACTTGTCAGACAGCAGGTTGCCTGAACAACTGGTTGGCTAATCTTTCTTTACCGGAAGTAGCCTACTGTATAATAAATAAATATGTTGGTTTGGGTTCACCTGACTCTATTTTTCTTAAACAAGGCACATTTTTGTATTCGCAAACATCTAGATGAGTTCAATGAAATGGCACAGAAGGCAATTGGTTTTAAAAGCTGGACTATTTTTTACTGGACACATTGTCTTAAAAATGCAACTCTGGTAGCAAAATGCTCAAAAATACATTTGGCTGTAACACTGATGCTTTATGGAGAGACATTTTCAAGGTATAACTTTTCCATAAGAGGTTTTTGGTGCAAACTTTCTAACAGCTCAAGTACAACATGATAATTAAAGCACTATTACTAAAGATATTTAAAAAAAAATGAATTCAGTCGTCCTTACTAATCGACTAGTCAGTTCTTGCAGTTGACCATTGTGACCGATTCTTATTGGTACAGTAGCTGAAAGAATGATTAAATTATTAAAAAACCATGCAAGGGTGTCAAATGTGTAGAACTTTGTGACAGATGTTTCTGAAGAGTTCTGCATACTGAGTTTCTGTGGGCTTACAGCTCATTATCAGTAGGGAAACTTCAAGCAGAGGATGCTTCTGGTTTCTGTACTGAATATTTTAGTTTGAACTCTTCTTGTTTGAACTTTTTTTTTTTTTTTTTTTTTTTTCCTTACCCTAAAATGCACAACCAGTATTCTTACAGCTTGTTCAGACTGAGTCTCTAACTGTAACACAACAATAGCTTCTAGTTTGACCCTGCACTTTATCATAGACGTACCCATTCATTACCACAGGGTAATGGATCTAAATTGCAGCCCTAGACACCCCTGCCCGTTTTTCAATTGAACTTTAACCTCCCTTCACCCTGCTCCCCCCGTCCCTCTTTACCTCTCTTTCCATTCAGGCATTTATTCGCCCATTCCGGGAGCACCACATTGATCCGACGGCTATCACACGGCATGACTTCATAGAGACTAATGGAGACAACTGCATGATCACCATCCTGCCTCTGGCCCACATGGCCTATAAATTCCTCTCCTACCCACCAGGTACACACACACATCCACTCACTTTTCCAGTGTGTCGTGAGCGTGAGTCAGCGCGACTATTTTAGAATCAACGAGTGTGACCTGAGTGTGACACATACTTAGAGCCATCGGTGTGCCCCACATTCATCTTAAAATACCTAAAAATTGGGAAATCGACAAATGAGAATATGGTTTGAAAAGGGTAAAATGTTCTCAGTTCCATTTTTGCCCTGCATGGGTTGCAGGAGCAGCTCAGGCAAAAAATGAATTTTTTTTATCCTTCACTCATGCTCATGTTATTGCAAACCTGTATGACTTTCTTTCCTCCTTATAACACAAGAGGGGAATAATTATTTAATAATTATTCAACAGAAAAATTCAACAGAATGTCCTGAGTGCTTACATTTTCCATATATTTGGATAATTTTGAATAACTTTTTTTTTTTTGGCCATTAAAGGAATATTTCACACAGAAATAAAAAATTTGTCAGCAATTACACACCCTCAAGTTGTTCCAAACTCAAAAGACTTTTCCCTTCATTGAAAGTCCATTCCACCAAAACTTTTACTCTTCAAAACATTCATAAAGAGATTGTAAGCAAAATCCATATTGAGTGGCTTAATCCAAGTCTTCTGAAGAGAGACAATTTACATTGCACACTGTATATGGTAAATGGAAGCTCAACTGTACTTGCTTGACGCTGTTTGTTTTTATTTAGCTTTTTAAGGTGTTTTGCATTGCTGTGTGAAAATAATATGAAATGATTAAAATGATTGAAATGAAATGATTAAAATGAATTAAAATGATTTTTAATTAGATATTTACTGTTGTGTTTATTGCAATAAATATTTTGATTCTTTGGAGTTGGTTATGGAGTTGGTTAACCCCTGTACTCATGCTCATGTTATTCCAAACTTGTATGACTTTGATAACACGAGGAGAAATTGAGGAATAACCTGTGCTTTATTTTTTCTTACAAAAAGTGAAGTAAATTTAAATTCAGTTTTTTTTTCTTACATAAAACTATGATATCAATTCATTAAATCTTGAATATCACACACAAGTTGTATTGGAACGCAACAGCAGTTTCCCGTCATTCTTGTTTTAAAAACATGAGAATAAGTAAATGGTGACAGTATTTTCATTGCATAAAATTCCATGAATTCCATTGAATTCAATTCCATTCAAACATATTTGTTGCTGATGATCTGCTCAATTCTAAAAAAATTGAAAGGTCAATTTGATTTGATGTTTCTCATGCTAAAGGATAAGGCTTGTATTTTAGTAGAGGGTTAGGGCATGTCGTATTCATTTGCATAACATTTTATATCTTTCTCTCTCCACCTTATGCCATTGTTCGTTTATCTCTCCCTCCACCTCTCTATTACGCTATCTCTCTTTCCCAGATGCCCTTGCAGAGTCCTACCCCTGGGAATGTTTTGTTTTTGCGTTGGCGGTCTTTGTAACCATGACTAATCAGATCCACAAGTGGTCCCACTCCTACTTCGGCCTGCCACTCTGGGTCACACTACTGCAGGACTGCCACCTAGTGCTGCCACGGAAACACCACCGGATCCATCATGTGTCGCCACATGAGACGTACTACTGCATCACCACAGGTACACACTCATGCTTCACTTGATGAGTCGGAAGCCTGGTGTTTGTGTTATCACCCGAAAATATGGGAATTCTGTCATTATTTACTCACCCTTATGTCATGTTATGACTTTGTCTTCTGCAGAACACAAAAGGAGATATTTTGAAAATGTCTCAGTGTTTGTTTTTTTGTCAATACAGTGCAATGGGGTCCAAAACAACAATGGATGTCATTGACTTTAATTATATGAACAAAAACAGTGGAAGTCATACAGGTTTACAACAACACTAGGGTGAGTAAATTATGTTTTTAGGTGAACTATACCTTTAAATATACCCTGAATCCTGTAGGCATCTTTACAACAACAATACATACTGGATGAGATTCAGATGAGGTAGGTGAACTTCCTCTGAGAGTCTTTAATGTAGTTGATCATGGTAAACTACAGTATCTGGCAAGGATTCTTGCACGGAGCGTGGCCTGCATCGCCAGTAGCTGTAAAGAGTGGGTTAAAATAACTTTTTAAAGTCCGCTGTGTGTGCGTGTGTGTGTGTGTGAAGGCATTAAACTCCCATGATAGCTCGAGCACTCAGTATGCGATGTGCGTCTCTGGGAGAGAGGGGAGCGAGGATGCTTGTGCGTCACCCTGCGCCCCAGCGGACGACAGATGTGTGTGTGCACACATGCTCCAGAGCACAGACCGGTCCTTTTGACCCTCCCTCTTTCCTTTCCACTGCTGCTCCCTGATCCCACTGGGAGACGCTGATGAAGGGAGAGGAAAGGGTCTCTCTCTCTCGCACACATACACAAACGTGCACGCTGGGAGTCTCCCTCTGCGTGAGCCCTGCTCCTCCACCCTCCCTGCCTGAGTCCCCAGGGGCCAGGGCCCGCCTTTGTGTATGCCACTGGCTGACAACCTCCATGTATATTTAATGCTAACCTGCTGTCAGTGCTAACAAATAGGCTTGCGCAAAGGGGGGTGGGGGGGTTTGACAAAGATGAAAAATCAAACAAACATGATGAGCTGTTCTGCTCTCCTCCTGCACCAAAAGGGTCACTGTAGAGAGAGGGTACAAACACACAGACACACGGAGCTGACACAGACGTGACCGACGAACAGTGTGGTGCTTATATACAGACATACAAGGGCGATGGATTACCATGTGATGTCATAATCAGGGTTCACTGAAAACAGTACTGTGGCGGTACCATGGCACTGTAATTGTGTCAGGTGGAAACACCATGGTAATTTCAATTGGCACTGAATGATTAGCGTGTTCCTATACCATTACCATAGTATTTACATGGTACTTCAAACAATACCATTGTACTTGCACATAGGGCTGGGCGATATATCAAAATTATTGTGAATATCAGGATGATTTTAATGGGTTTTTGTTATTTGGCTATTAAAGGGATAGTTAACCCAAAATTAAAAATAGTAATCAATTACATACCTTTACGTTGTTCCAAACCCGTAAGACTTTTGTTCATCTTCAGAACAGGAATCAAGATATTTTTCATGAAATCTGAGAGATTTTTATCCATTTAAAGTCCATTCCACCAAACCAAACTTTGACACTTCAGAATGTTCATAAGATTCTAAATGAAATCCGCCTTCTTCTGAAGAGACATGGCATACATAGAGCACTTCAAATATGGTAAACGGAAACTCAGCTGTTATTGCTTGACCCCTGAGAACAAACCTTATTAGTCTATATATAGATTTGTATAGAAAATATTGATGTTTGCTACTAAGGGTTTCTATATTACTGTGTGAAAATGGCTTGATTTTTAACTGTTGTATTTTGATTCTAGTTGATTGTAATTGCATTCATCTGATTGACAGAAAACGATCACCCTTTTAATACTGTAGTAAGTAAATAAATAAATAATGAAATGTATATTGGAAATTTTAATATTTGAGATATTTTAGATATACCGTCCAGCCATACTACTATAGTGCGTGTCCAAAGAACATGGTACAGTAGTATTATGGTAATTTATAAGACTTTTGAGTCCGTTTTCATTATACGTGGACTTCTGTTAATCGCTCAAGTGTACATGATTATCAGCCGGTAATCTCAAATTGGCCAAATGCTTGATTATTCGCCTAGGTTGATGTATTGTATGTCACTGTTTTGAACTTTGTCCTGCACGTTTTTGTGTGTTAAACATCTAAATGCCTTGTGTGTATGGTTGAAATGGTTTTCTGTAAAACCCAATGGAATGCGTGTCTGGGAGCACAACAGAAGTGTGTGTGTGTGTGCGCGCGTTTTGGTGACAAATGAGGACAAAAATTTGTATAATGACAAAGGTATGACATAAGTATTACAAGGAGAAGGTGACTTTTCAGGACATTACCCTATGTCCCCACTTTTCAAAACGCTTATAAATCACACAGAATGGAGTGTATTGAAAATCTGAAATAGCACAAAGTTTCCTGTAAGGGGAAGGTTTAGGGGTAGGGTTGGTGTAGGGCAATAGAATATACGGTCTGTACAATATAAAAACCATTACGCCTATGGGACGTCCCCACTTTTCACAAAAACAAACCTGTGTGTGTGTGTACATAGTGGAGTTGTGGCGGGCTGGCTGGGGGTGGGGTGCTGCTACATATTTATAGCAGTAAGTATGTACATTACTCTACTGCTAGCGCCTGATCTTCTGTCCATCCACTGGGAGTCACCATCCAGGAGCTTCTGTGTCTCACCGCTTCTTGATGTTGTTCTCTGTGCCTTCCCCTCTTTCTTCCTGTCTTGCTCTTTTGTCCTTGCACTCTCCTTTTTGCTTGCCTTGCCCTTCTCACTGTTCTCTCTCTCTCTCTCTCTCCTGCATTTCTCTTCTCTTTTCTCTCACTGGCGAGTTTTCAGAAAAGTGTGCAATTCAGCGAGAGGAATGAATTTGTCTGGTTTTAGCCTGTGTGCTTCACCTTTTCTGTATTTCTTTTTCAGTTTTACTCCTGTTTCAAAGTACTCTGGCATGATTATTTTATGACAGTTTTACATACAATATTAATGTTTACATGTATTATAATTTATTAATAATGCATTAATTAAAATGATGTGACTTCTCTTTAATCTTGAAATGTATTTTATGGTGTATGGCATGTTTTCCAATTATATACACTATTATTTAGAAGTTTGGGTTTGGTGAGATTATTTCGTTTTTTGAAAGAAGTCTGTTATGCTCACCAGTACTGCATTTAATTATCACAAATACAGTAAAATGGCAATATGGTGAAATATTAAAATTTAGCTGTTAATATATTTTATCATGTCTGTTTATCCCTGTGATGGTAAAACAGAATTTATTCCAGTCTTCAGTGTCACATGATCCTTCAGAAACCATTCTGAGATGCTGATCTGTTGCTCAAAAAAGCATTTTTCAGCATCATCACAGTTGAAAACAATAGTGCTGCTGTATTTTTTGTGGAAACCATGGTACATGTTTTTCAGGATTTGATAAATATATAGTTAAAAAAACAGCATTTATATGAAATAGAAATCTTATTGTCGCTTTTGATCAGTTTAATACATTCTTGCTGAATAATATTATATTATATAATATGTTGTTTTTATATTTTTATTTAAATAAAAATAGTACACACAGTTCCAATTTTAAATCCCGTCTCTGCTGCTAATCTGTACCACTTGACTATCTAGTCTTACACTCATATTAACAACTACTCAGGAGTCAAAGTGGGGTTTTTCCCCTCCTTTTAGTCATGTCTTATCTCGCCTGCGGCACTAAGTGTGCCGCTGCCATTGATGTCCCTTCATAAACATTGGTGCCTGACACCCCTGCTTCTCTTTCTCTATCATTCTCTCCCTCAGGTTGGTTGAACTACCCGCTGGACAAAGTGGGTTTTTGGCGGACAATGGATTGGTTGATCGAGAAATTGACGGGTCAGAAGCCACGCAGTGATGACCTGGCCTGGGCCAAGAAATCCGAGTGACCAGGATAGCAGGACTGAATTCCCTCCCTCATCCATCTCAGAGACATAAATAATGGGCCTTAACTCTGTAACCCAAAACCTCTCTCCTATAATGTTCCTGTGTCCCTCTGTCTCCCCTAAACCATCTTCTCTACAGCACAGAACCACAGATCACACTTACTGCTGGGGCCTTTTCCTGTCACTGAGGTCTGCTACACGCAGGTTGGTTGAACTACCCGCTGGACAAAGTGGGTTTTTGGCGGACAATGGATTGGTTGATCGAGAAATTGACGGGTCAGAAGCCACGCAGTGATGACCTGGCCTGGGCCAAGAAATCCGAGTGACCAGGATAGCAGGACTGAATTCCCTCCCTCATCCATCTCAGAGACATAAATAATGGGCCTTAACTCTGTAACCCAAAACCTCTCTCCTATAATGTTCCTGTGTCCCTCTGTCTCCCCTAAACCATCTTCTCTACAGCACAGAACCACAGATCACTCTTAATTGCTGGGGCCTTTTCCTGTCACTGAGGTCTGCTACACACTTCCTCCTCAGTTTTGTAGATGTCCATACGCAACGAAATAGTAGAAAGACAAGATGAAGTTCAAAACTGTGGTTTCAAACTGTTGAGATAATGATGAGAGACACTGTTTCCCTCACAAGCCTTTGCTCCATCTCCATGTGCTTTCCCGTTTCGGTGTGTAAAATGTATGTTTTCTGGAGGTTGGGCTCTCCAGAGGACCGAAACCATGTTGTGATTTTCCCAGCATGGTTTTCATAGCAAGGCATGGAATGAGATAAGCAATTAAATCTGGATTTGATTCCACAAACTGCGAGAAAAGATTTATTGCTATCTCAAACACTCTCCAGTTGCACAAAAGCATCTCGGCAGCATTAAAACCCTCCCTTAGTTTGAACCCGAAGGACGCATGGAGGATCCATTTCTCAAAAAACGCAGAGAAAGGGTTTTGTTGGCCAACCCGTGTGGTCAGTGCTCAGTTGACCCAACTGAATGTTTTCCCTGAGTGTTTTTTACTGAGCTCGTGTTAGCCTTAAGTACAAACCCATTACACTTATTTCTAATCAGTCCAGTTGCACAAAAGCATCTCGGCAGCATTAAAACCCTCCCTTAGTTTGAACCGAAGGACGCATGGAGGATCCATTTCTCAAAAAACGCAGAGAAAGGGTTTTGTTGGCCAACCCGCGTGGTCAGTGCTCAGTTGACCCAACTGAATGTTTTCCCTGAGTGTTTTTTACTGAGCTCGTGTTAGCCTTAAGTACAAACCCATTACACTTATTTCTAATCCACTTACCGGGGCTTAGCGGTGATGAACATTGATTGCATCTCTGGTGTGTTAGCGTGACATGTTATTGATATTTGGAGTAGTATTAGCAGTCTAGCTAGTGATGTCCTCCTGCTGTATCCTGTGGTACAATGCTTTAGCAAAGGTTGTACTAGCAAAAGGTCACTTTAGAAAAAGGTCAATTTGAATCTGAGTTACCAAGCTTTATTAAAGAGAATTATTAATGGGGTTTTTTTCTTATTGAATTATATATGCACACTATTTGACCAGTGGTACTTTTCATGCAAACCTTAAGCAAAAAAACAGCCAAATACACTCCCTATTTTCTCTCTCACACATATTTACACATGCACACTTACAGATTTTAATCACAAACTCAAAAAAAAAAACACTCTGTAAAGATTTCCTGTGGATTTATGTCTCTCCATTTGTGCTGAACTGATAAATGGAGAGAATAAGGGTTTTATATAGTGTTTCATTATGGATTGATTGTCTCACGGTCTCTTACAACAGCTGCAGCTCCACAATTTGGGTTTCATTGTCTGGCTTTTTATTTTATTTTTATCACTGTACAATATAACACTCAGCCTTGTATTTGTTATTTGTTCTTCTTTTCCATCTCGCAGCTAATGCTGGCTGCCTATTCTGCCTTAAACCAATGTTTTTATTAGCTGTATGATTTAATAAATATCTAATACATAACATTTATTTATTGTTTTTTTTTTGTAACTCAAGTGATTTTTAAATGTTGCTCATTAAATCTAAAAGTTAGAAGCAAAAATGTAGTTCTCTTTGTTAAAATGAGACTGTAAAACAATTACAGAGCTTTGCAAAGATAATTGCGCTGGAAATCTGCTGGGTACTTTGAGGTGATTTAACAATGAGTCACAAGCTCTGTTCTACTCAAGTAGAAAATGTTTATGAGAGATCCAGGGGAGTATATTTAGAAAAGCACTAAACTGCCACCTTAATTTAATAATTTGTAACAAAGAATTTATTGGAATGAGCGATTTATGGCAGATGGACTGTGTGGACAGTAAATGATGAGTTAAGAGCTCCCTCTGGTGGCTGAACAATATCCACACAGCTGAACGAATGATACTGTACTCCATTTGCTCTGCACTAACTAAAAGAATTATAGTACTATCATGGGTTTTGTTTTTGTGGCATTACCTTGGTGCTTTTTAATTCCTTTGCAGTGTCGCCATAAAAAAAACAGTAACTGAATAAGGTAAATATTCATTCCCATGAAATATATTATCTGAAATCATCACTGTACAATAGTACCACCACAGTACTTTTTATAATAGTGGGCTGACAATTATCTGATCATTATGTTATGTATTTGTAGTCAACATTAAAATGTTATTGTGACTGCATAATTCACAAATGCAATCTAAACCTGCCAGTTATCACTGAAACAGGTGTCCCGAGGTGCCATTGACATGATGTTGGGAAAGGACTGCTTGTTTGGCCGAATAACGGAAGAAGCGGTAAGTGTTTTCATAACCTTTGTATGAACAGCTTTAATATTCTCAGATAAAAAACAATCGATGGTAAACCTGTAGTGCACTATGCCATTGTCAATCTTTATCACAGTGCTGCATTGTTTGTCATGTCCGCTTCCGGTTTCCTGCAGCAGTGGACCTCTTGTGGGGACAGAGTGATGCTGCTCTGGATCTCCCTGAGAAAATGATCAAATATTTTCTTTAATGATAAACATGTGTAATCTGTAAAATGAAATGTGCTTTAAACTAATCTTATATTCAAAGCCACTCATATTGCCATTGTATTTTTAATTAGCAAGTTGATGTCAAGCAGTTCAGAGACATGTGAAATGATTTCTTGTTTTTGTAAATGTGAAATTATTTCTTGTTTTTAATGAACAGAACCCCTGTTGTGCAGCTTGGTAGTCTGACCTCTGTGACCTTGTAATGGGGACGGCGGTAGGATTGGGCTTTTCTACCCAGTGATGGGGCGATGTGTCAAATGTTTCTCATATTCTTCTTTTATAATGGTCTTGACATTAGCAAAATGTTGTTTCTACATTATATAGGACGGGGCAGAACAGAGAATATTTTCTTCCCCTTGAGTCCCTGAATGTAGAAGAGGTTATATAACCACAAAATAAACACTGATTGCAATAACATACTATTAAATTAGCCATGATTCAGCCGCAGAAAATCACTAGGCTTTGGAAATTACAGATTGCACTTTAGTGCAGTACTGTTCCTGGAAGTCTCTCATGAATTTTGGAGCGAGTTTAGTATTGTTGTTGTTCCCCCCCCCCCCATGTGAGTATTTACAATACCATTAAATAGTTTGGAGTCAGTTAGATAAAATACTTTTATTCTTCAAGAATGCATTAAATTAATCAAAAGTGACAGTAAAGATTTTTACATTGTTACAAAAGAATTCTATTTTAAATTGATGCCATTCTTTTCAACTTTCTTTTCATAAAAAAAAAAATGCTTAAAAAATGCATGATGGTTTCCACAAAATTATTAAGCAGCACAACATTTAACATTGATAATAATAAGAATTGAGCACCGAATCAGCATATTAAAATGATTTCTGAAGGATAATGTGACACTGAAGACTGGAGTAATGACTGTTAAAAATTCAGCTTTACCATCACAGAAAAAATGACACCTTAAGATATATTCAAATAGAAAACCGTTATTTTAAATTGTAATAATATTCAAAATTTTAATGTTTTTACTGTATTTTTGATTAAATTTTTTTTAAGCAGCCTTAGTGAGTATAAGATGATGGTGAGAAATTGTTAGAACACCTAACTTATAAATGTAGTGATGGTCTTTGCAGATGTGCTGTACTTGATCATGTGATTAAATTCACGGAGATAAACTTATTTCTCATTTTTAAGCTGATCAGTGCAATAGTTCAACACCCGGAGGAATATCTTGCTGTGGTTAGTGGTAATCAGTCACTTTAAGTCTACTTCATTGGATCACATTCTTTAAACTAAACAATAAAATATCCTTAAAACAATCACTGATTTGATGCTTCTGTTTCTGATGGTGTTTTTAACAGGATACCTTCATAAATTATCAAGCTAAGCCCATACATAATATACTGAAGCCATCTGCTGTAGCTTCCAGTCTACTGACGGACACATAGTCAGAGCCTTTCTGTGGTTGGCTGTGTGAGATAGTTTGACAGTTTTGCTACCAATCATGTCCAGAGTGACAGCCGGATCTCTGGCGCTTCATTTCAGTGAGGTTATGCTGACAAATGATGGACAGACCATCTAATTTGCATAACAGACTTGATGCTATCTATTAGAGTGCTAGAGGCAAGTTCAATTCCCTCTTTTTATTCACAGAAGAGTGAAGAGAGCACTGGAAATGATTGGGAAAGTGGGAAAAGGATGGGGAAATGCTGTTGGATTTAAATTCACATTATTCTATTATAGCACCACAGCTCAATATGTTGGAGCATGTGTGCTGATCACCAGGCCACAGCTCATGTAAGCTAAATTTAAAACTAAAGACTGTTGCAGTTCCCTCTTAACTTATTCTGAGATCATCACATAATGGTAAATATCATAAGACGAGTGCTTCCTGGGCGGTGATAGTTGGACAGAGAATGAAGCTGAAAGTTAACGAAGATATGGCATGAATCAAGGTCTGTTATTGTTGATTATCTTCAAATATTAGAGTGTAATTAGCAGTTTGATGACAACGGAAGTGATTTCCAGTCTGTTTGGTACCAAAACATTCTGAAAAGCAACATTACATTACAGAATCTTCTGCATGTTCTGAATGCAACAGATGTTGATCATCTCCATGTAACCCTAATACAGTAATAGGCTAATTTATGTTAAATGGAGCTTAGTATTTTTTACGTATTACTGTGTTTGTCTTTTGGTATATGGTTATGGGTTTAGGCAGAGTGACATACTGTGCAGGGTGAACAGCAGTGGTACAGAGATGGAGAGAGAAATGAACTGCTGATTCAGGCCTCTAGAGACTACAGTGCTGTCAACCTGTCAAATCACGCACAACTGTCACTACAGCCCTGTTCACTTACTGGTATAGCTGCTATAGTCTAAACTAAGTGTTCTAGCTTAGGTCAGCATAGTTATGCATGCTGTTCTCCTCCAGGCCTTTAGATGGCCCCTTTGTGCCTCCTCTGTGACACTTCTTCCACATGCAGGATGGGCAGATGTGCATTGTGTTGCTGACAGAGATTAAAGTGAAGATGTTAATTAGGTGGAAGATGTGAGATCTGTTCTAGATGTGCAATTGAATGTGCGCTTCTGTCTTGACTTTCTTGTTAG